TATGTGTATGTATGTCTGTATATGTATGCATCTATGTATGTATGTATGTATGTATGTATGTGTGTATGTGTGTATGTGTGTATGTGTGTATGTGTGTATGTGTGTATGTGTGTATGTGTATGTATGTATGTATGTATGTATGTATGTATGTATGTATGTATGTATGTATGTATATGTGTGTATATATATATATAAAATAATATACGTAGATAGATACGTGGTTGTTGTTCCCGTACTTATAGCCCCATTTACTACGTCCCCTGATCGCAGACCCTGGAGCCCAGAAGCCCCCAACTCTGCCGCAGGATCCCCCACAGTGCCCCTTTGACGTTTAGGCTTCAGGGGTTTAGGGTTTAGGAAGCTTGGAATCGTAAGCCAAAATAGCCTATAGTATACTACGACATATTTTCGTATACCACAATATACTATAACATACTAGGAAATGACTCCATGCCATACTGCACCCTGCAAGGCCTGGCGCTTACGGGTCTTTGGTTTAGAGAAGGCGAACCCGGAAGCCCTAAAGCTGCAAAGCCGCAACGCCGTAGCTGCACAGCCCCGAACCCCTAAACCCTAAACCCCCAACCCTAAATCGTAAACTCATAGCTGCTACAACGCCCCCACGCCCCAAAAGATCCGGGCTTCTTCCCCAGACTTACACTAAACCCTCCAAAAAAGCTCTAGCCCACAAACCCATATCTGCCCTACATCTTAAGCCCAACGCGCCAAATCCCAAATCCTGAACCATGAACCCTAAGACCTAAACCCTTAGCCCGTACCCTCAGTATTTTTAGCCCTGACGTTTAAAGCCCTAAGCCCTCACTGGGCCTCTTCTTCTTTGAAGCCGCCTTTTTCCCCAAGGCGCCAGCTCCAACAGCGGGCGCTGATGGCGAACGGCCAAGGAAGAAGTCGAAATGGGACCAGGCAGGAGTTTTGGAAGGTTTAGGGATTTTAGGGGGATTTAGTGGTTTTAGGGGTTTTAGGGGTTTTAGGAGTTTATGGCTTCGAGGTTTAAGTTTTAAGGTCTAGGATTTTGGGTATTTACGGTTTTCGGGTCTTGCGGCTTTCATGTTCAGGAGTTTGCTTCCTGTTGCATACCTATACAGGGAGGCTCTCGAAGAGTCTGCTCGCACTAAGGCCCCTTTGCGTTGAATGGAATCCTGGGTTTTATCCAACAGTTTCTTCCGAAGTCAACGAATATGGGAGTTTCGGAAGATAGGGGACCCTAGTATAGTACCCTAAACAGTAGGATCCTTACTATAAGGACCCCAAAATAAGGTACCCCTTAATTTTCGGAAACCCCTATATGTCATCGGATGTTCACTGTAGTGGCGGGGCGCTGGCACGAGGCCTTGGGGCTGGGGAAAGTGGGAGAGTCTTCCTTCTTGAGGTATGCCAGCCTTGCGTGCAGAGAAGGAGAGAGAGTCAACAAAACATCCGCATATAGCCCATATACGATTATCTTATACTAAAATCATAGTGTACCACGGTATAGTTTGATAAGGAATAGTATAGTATTCGTGCTGTACTTACTCTACTCTACTCTACTCTACTCGACTCTGCTCTACTCTACTCTACTCTACTCTACTCTACTCTACTCTACTCTACGAACTCTACTCTCTTCTCTCCACTCTCCACCCTCTACTCTCGACGATTATACTACACCCTCGTCTACGAGGGCCCCCTATGGCTCTATGTTAAGCACTCCGCACCCTAAACCCTAAACCCTATGGCCCTAAACCCTAAGCCCTAAACCCTAGACCCTATGGCCCTAAGCCCTAAACCCTATGCCCCTAAACCCTATGGCCCCAAACCCTATGACCCCAAACCCTATGACCCTAAACCCAATGCCCCTAAACCCTATGACCCTCAGCCTTATGACCCCAAACCCTATGACCCTAAACCCTATGCCCCTAAACCCTATGGCCCCTAAACCCTATGACCCCAAACCCTATGACCCTAAACCTTATGGCCCTAAGCCCTATGCCCCTAAACCCTGTGGCCCCAAACCCTATGACCCTCAACCTTATGGCCCCAAACCCTATGACCCTAAACCCTATGGCCCTAAACCCTATGACCCCATGGCCCTACTACACGCTATGACCCTAAACCCTATGCCCCCAAACCCTATGACCCTATGCCCCCAAACCCTATGACCCTATGGCCCTAAACCCTATGGCCCCAAACCCTATGACCCTAAACCCTATGGCCCCAAACCCTACGGCCCCAAACCCTATGACCCTAAACCCTATGACCCTATGGCCCTACACGCTATGACCCTGTGGCCCTATGGCCCTAAACCCTATGCCCCTATGCCCCAAACCCTATGGCCCCAATGCCAAACGCTCCGCAGACCGGCCCCGGGGGACTTCCGGACTGGTTGGCTGACCTGGCACCGAAGGAGCCGCGGGTGGCGGCCGGCACGTTCTTGGCTTTCTTGCAGGGCTGTTGGGACGGATTAAGTTTAGGGTTTAGGGTTTAGTGTTTAGGGTTTAGGGTTTAGGGTTTAGGGTTAGGCTGGTTTTGGGTCTAGGGGCTAGGGTTGAGCTTTTTTTGGGTTTTGGGGGGTGTTGGGGTGGAGTGATTCAGGGCGTCGGGCTTCAGGGTTTTGGGGGTTCGGTGTGATGAGGTTGATGTTGTCAGTGGAGGCATGTAAGCTACAATGCAGGCAGTCCCTGTCTATCGAGGGCGTTCTGAAGTTGTTGCCTTTTTCTGTTGAAGATCTTTGCTGTAGAAGCATTTTCAGGAGCTGCATCTGTTGAAGGGATGGTTTTCAACAGGCTACCCTAAACCCTAAACCCTAAGTCCTATACCCCCAAACCCTTATCCCCGCACTGCCCGAAATCTTGGGGGGCGACACATCGCCTGGGCCTAAACCCTTTCCAAGGAGCCTTGTAGCCTAAGAGGTTTCGCCTTTTTGGGTTTACGGAAGCTCGCGATTTCAGGGGGCTGAGGGCCGTGAAGTTCTCACTGATGCCTCGCCTCTTTGGCTTTCTTGCTGGCAGGGCCGATGCGGCCCCGGCAAACGACCGAACCGTTCATTTTCGGGGTTTAATGTTTACGGGAGTTTTCAGCAAGAGCGCACAAGGGTTGAAGGCAGCAACCTAAACCCTAAACCCTAAACCCTAAACAGCAGCCCTGAATCCTTTAGCAAGCTCTGGAGCCCCGAAAGGTCTTGAAAGCGCAACGCTTCACACCGTGATCGCCAGCCCCAAGACCCCCAATGCTAAGAACTCAGACCCGGGGCTCCTTATTGTAGTTACAGGCATAATGGGCCCCAAAACCCTATTCTATTTTTTAAAGGCCCCGATGTTCCTATATTACTTGAACCCCGTGCTCATCGCGGTGAGTTTAGAGTTTAGGCTTTCAGGGTTTGGGGCTTACGCGCGCCCATGGCCTTTTTGTGGCTGTGGCTCGGCTTGGCGGCAGCTGCTGCTGAAGAGGCGGAGGTCCTACAGCTTCTGCAGCACAGGACTGCCCTAAGATTGGGATTCATAAAGGGGCCTTAATACGAATACTGGGGTTTAGGGCTTAGGGTTTCGGGTTTAGGGTTCGGGGTTTAGGGCCGGAGTCTTGATCCATGTTTCGTCACATCAGGCCTTGAACACATATTTCAATACTGCTAATGCTCAGCGACAACATGAAAGAACATGAGTAGCCATACGGTTGATGATACAAATCCTGCATTATCCATAGTAAGGAATACACCATAATTCCCACAGTTTAGGGTCCTGAGGGTACTGCCGGATTTATATCATCCACAGTGTCATTCATAAGGATAACAAGTTGTATCAGCAAGTCTCGCAGCTCCCCCCGCCTTGCGAGCTGTGAAGCCCCGGAGCTCGCAAACCCTAAAATCCCTAAACCCTAAACCCTGAACCCCTAAACCCTGAACCCTTGAAGCCCTAAAGACCTCAACTCCCCCTCACCCCCCTGATGAGACTGGAGATGGATGTGACGAGCTCCGAGCCCTTCTGGTGGGCCCACTTTCCGAGCCTCGGTCGTTCTTTTTGCTTTGAGGTGGAGGGGGAGCCCTAAGCCTAAACCCTAAACCCTAAGCCCTGAGCCCTAACCCTAAACCCTAAACCCTAAACCGCAGACCCGAAGCCCCAAACCCTAAACCCTAAACCCGGAAGCCCGGAAACCCTGACGAGGTTCTGGGTGGTTCTTTGAGGCTTCGGGCACTGAGCCTTTTGGAGGGGGCTTTAGGGTTTCAGGGGGCTCCTTTTCGCGCTTTTTGAACTTGCGGGTTTCCGAGGGCCCGGGGGCGCCATCAGCCCATCTCGGCTGGGTTTCGGGTTCACCGGTTTAGGGTTTAGGGTATAGGGTTTAGGAATTTAGGGTTTAGGGCTCAGGGTATAGGGTTTAAGGAATTTAGGGTTCAGGGTTTTGGGGCTTTAGGAATTTAGGGTTTAGGGCTTAGGGTTTAGCGACGGAAAGGTCTAGATTTGTTTACTCTTCGGTGGCTCGGCATTACATTTGCAGGGTTCTGGGGCAGGCGAATAACGATAGGGGCTAGATGCAGCATTAACAGCAACAGAATCTTAGTTGTAGATGTGGTGAAAATAGTAGAAGTACAAGTAGACATGGTCGCCGTGGTAGCTTCAGTGGCAGTAGTAGTGTAGCAGTAGTAGCAGCGGTATAGCAGCCGAAGCAGAAGCAGCAACAGCAGGCAGAGGACGGGGCGGAAGCTGCAGTAGGGGGAGAGCAGCAGCAGGAGGAAGAGGAGGAGCAGCAGCAGCTGTTGCAGAGTAGCAGTGACAACTTCACTAATGTTTATCAAACCGTGAAGGAAGTGTGGCAGCTCTCTCATTAACGCGATCATCCACTTGCCTGGATTCTGCCCGTCTTTGGCCAACGTTACGCTTGGTGCTGGGGAGACTGGCCAGTGCTGGATGCCACTTGACGGCGCGAGGTTGCATCATGGGAGCCTCCAAAAGCTTGTAGCATTCGCCTATCCAGTCATGGCAAAGTATCTTCCCAACCGCGTTCATTTGATACGGCAGGGCGTTGGCTTGTCTGTGTAGATGGACGACAAAGACTGAAGTGTAGTAAAGCAATCACCGGACTTTCCGTTTAGTTTGGTCAGCCAAGGGCAGGTAAGGGGTCTGTGTCCCCGCCGTCATCCTGCACTTTCGCCTGTGTGTGCCTGCCTCGCCTCCGTTTCTGTCTCTGGATCTGCCTGTCTGTCTCTCTGCCTGCCTGCCTGCCTCTCTGTCTGTCTGTCTCGCAGTCGCTCCTCGCTCCAAGTCCCGGTCCCGCGCTCCCACTCGCTCTCTCTCTCTCCCTGTCTCCCTCCATCTCTTTATCTCTCTCTCTCTCTCTCTCTCTCTCTCTCTTCTCCCATGTCTCGTTAGCAATTGTGCACCTTTGTGCCCTTGGCTTTCTCAATTGTGTGTGTGCCTCTGCGACAGCTCCACTCTTCTTCTTCTTGCCATGTTGTCGGAACAGGCAATCATGCTCTGGCGAAACCCTAAACCCTAAACCCCATAAAGCCATAAACCCTAAACCCTAAACCCCAAACCCCTAAACCCCTAAAGCCCTGAACACAGACCGGTCATCTTAGACCAGAGGCCTCTCCAAAGGTGGCCCAGAGCATAGGCTGAACGTTTTTTTTTAAATAAGGTTCTGGTGAGTGTGTGTGTATATATATATATATATGTTATACGTGTATATATATATATAGATATTATACGTATATATATATATATATACATATACACACGTACAATGTACATATTGCAGTTTCCCTGTTTGTAGATTCGCGCTGTCCGCTTGCATCCCGGAAATAAGAGAGGCTTTTTCATGTGGAGGTTCAACTGGATGGATCTTCCAAACCCGAAACTTCAGAAGCTTTCTGGAGACCTTATAGAGCCCCCCAAGCTGCCAAACCTGCCTGAACCCTACAGCCCTAAAGCCTTAAACACCCCAAACGCTCTGCATCCGAATGCCCTCAGTCAGAGGCTTTCGAGCCTGGGGACATAAGGGCTTAGCGTTTAGGGTGCAGGGGTCTAGGGTTTTTGGGTCTAAGGCGTAGGGTTTAGGGGTCTGGGGTTTGGGGTTTAGGGGTCCTAGCGGCTTGCGAGGCGGGATTGGGCCACCCAGAACTGCACCGATCAGTGCAGCCCGCAGAAGTTTTCTTGCGAAAGTTCGGGCCCTCCTCACCTGTTGCTGGGAGACCGCTCCCTTTCTTAAGAGCAAGGGGGTTAGGGGGCTTGGGGCTTGGGCTTTGCGTGGCTTGAGAGGGTTTGGGTGTAGGCCTTTGGGTTGAGGGTTTGGGGAAATTCCAAACTCATTCTTAACGTGCCATGTGAGGCTTCGTTGTTGACGGGGAGGGTTTGGTACTTCCGCTAGCAACTTGTGTTGTTTCAAGCACGTGGCTGCTTGCTTGGCTATGGTACCAGGATGGTCTAGGACATTTTCGGGTGGGTAGTTACCGTTATAGGAGCCTTATAGAAGGTCTATATCTTTTATAGAAGCCTTATAGAAGCCCTATATACCCTAAACTCCCCACCTGTACTTGCCTTTAAGATGGGTCTTTCTTATTGAGGCCGTGCATGGATTGTGCAACGTGTATCATTAACATCATTTGAAGCACGAGCCCAAGTCCACAGGACCCCTAAATCTTAAACCCTGAACCCTTGCTCCTTTGTCAGGGTCCTCGCTGCGCACCCATCACAGCATAAAAGCCCGGAAGCCCAAAATCCGAGGATCCCAGAACCCAGGAAACGATCCTGGTGTTGTGGTTTTTGTCCCAAATCCCACAAGCTTCCTTCCAACAGTTTTTGATTAAGGAGTCTACTGCAAATTATAGTAGGATCCTAAGATGATTAGGGACTACACATTAAGTTATAGTAGCATCCCTAATATGATTTGAGGTCTAAGTTCCTACTGAAAGGACTTTTTGGTGGGAGGTCCAGGTTCCCTGCAGCGTAAACTGTGGGGGGAGACATGGTCGGGTTTAGGGTTGAAGGTTTAGGGTTTAGGGTTTGGGGTTTGAGGTTTAGGGCTTAGGGTTTAGGGTTTAAGGTTCAGGGTTTGGGGTTTAAGGTTTAGGGTTTTGGGTTTAGGGGTTAGGGTGTAGGAACTCTGTGACACGTTTAGGCCCAAACCATGTCAGTCAGTTCTTGCCAACCGTTGCTGTCAGGGCATTGGGTTTAGGGCTTCTGAGGCTTATAGGGTTTTGCGAGATCTTTGTAGGACAGGTCGAGAGTTTCACACCATGCACACCCGATGGCTTCAGATGTGCACCATGATGCAGCCAGAACATATAACTTTGGAGAGCTACCTTCATCCCTCTATACACTGTAGACCCCAAGTAGCACCATCCCTAAACCCCAAGAGCCTGAACCCCAAGTTCCAAGCCCGAAGTTCCCTCTCTCCCCTCCCCCCTCTGCGCCCCAAGGCTACGCCTCTCTGAAGGGCCGCCTGGTGGGGATGTTCAGGCAGCCGGAGCAGCGAATCCTCTCCGCGTCGCTGGGGCCCGATCTGGAAAAACACTGTTTTCACATAGGAGGTCTTCTGTGTTTCAGTCCGTACGGTGTGCATCGATTCACGCTTCAGAGTCCGAAGATGGCAGCGAACGGCGGCCTTGCGGCGTCCAGTGCTGTTTGCATGCGGAGATCGGATCCGTGCGCCAGATCTTTCTTGCCGTCAACCCGAAGCCCTAAACCATAAACCGTAAACCCTAAGCCCTAAACCCGAATCCCTAAGCCCT